CTTTTTACCTTTTATTTTTGACTAAATTTCCAAGTTATAATAACATTATTGCATAATCCTTGCGTGATAGTTTTATCCTGTTGATTTTACACTCACCTAAATTATTTATATATAAAACCATCTTTAATTTAATATATTTTTCTATTAAGTGAGGTTTTAAATAAACCCATATATAATTTGTCATTAAAATTAACCAAGTTAGATCTATTATTTAGTATCTTAATAATAAATATGAATGATATAAAATTTTGTACCTCATGTATAGACTGGTTACCAGCAGAGGCCTTCATTCATAATAACAATATTTATAAGACCTGCTTGGCTTGCTTAAGTGCAAGGTTCACTAAAAGAGCAAAAAAAAAAGCCCTTGCTCTTAATGATGAATTGGAAAGCATGAATAATCAAGTAGAAAATCAATTCAACGATAAGATAGATGAGGTAGATAAGGTGGATACAATTGCTTTTACCGATATCATCGAATATGTCTCCAATAAAATTGCGAACCTTAAACAAGATGCCAAACTTTTTTTTAGCTTTGATGCTAAACTTGATGATAACACATTGGCAAAGGTTAACCATAATATGAAGATTTTGGCAAAATTAATAGTAGACGAGATCGAAGAAGGTAATGGATATAATTGGACGTAAGTAATTTTTGGCTAAATTCTCAAAATTAGTGTTGTACCTCATAACCCTTTGTTGGCTATTTAATGTTCATGTTCATACTTTTAAAAATTAAAAAAAAAAATTTTAATTATATAAAAAATAAAAGTTAAATATTAAAAATTTCTATTAGATTTTAGTCGTTATTGTTCCTTTTTTTGTATAACATGTCCTACTTTTCTATGCCTATCTACTGACAATAAATTTAATTTTTATATTTTGTAGATTCACAACTGGACCTAACCTATCAGTTCGCCATTCTGGTGTTGGTGCATTCTACCTTTCATGCTCTCAGTGCCGTGAATTAGAACACGAATACAAAGAATCAAATCATAAAAGGATATCCCGATTTGATTGCTATGGCAAGCTGGTTATCAATATTAATATAGTAGCAAAAAAGGTAAAAATAAAGTTTAGTCATGATATTCATCATAAAAAGCTTATAGATGTTATGACTCCAGAAGAAATAAAGTGTAAAATTATGCAAAATCTCCATATGGATTCTATACAATTAAGAACTCACCTCCGTCAAAAATTTGATATCTCACAAGTTATTCCAAAACAAATAAATTATTAGTGATCTGTTTTTAATCAGCGTTTTTTCAAATTAGATGAGGATCCTGTTACTTCTGCATATCGTTTTTTAGAAAATTCTCATAGTGATAGCGAATTTTGTTATGAATGGAGGGATAATTTAATTACTGCAATTGGATTCGTAACTCCTCTACTAATTAAATTATTACCAGTATCGAGTGTTCATTGCGATGCAACCTATAAAACAGCTAGAGGAAAATTCAAACTATATGGAATTATTAGTAACACTAATGGTGTAGGATTCCCTATAGCATATTTATTATTAAATACTACAAATGCATCTAACAATGAACAAACAGGATTACGTACAAAAGCGCTTGTTAGTTTCTTTTATTCTCTTTTCAACAAAGAGTTACGGTCACAATACTTCTTCACTGACAAGAATTTCACCAAAATCAATGCTGCAAAAGAGGTGTGGCCAGAAATTAGTATGCAGCTCTGCTTGTGGCATATCAAAAAGGCAATAAATGAAAAACTTAAAAGTCGCAATAAAATTAAACATACCCAATACCAGCCAGATGATGTTATTGCAGAATTTGACTTTATAGACCCTTCTTTTAAACCTGATTTAAGTCATTCCAAGTCTGATTACTATATTGTATATTCACCAAAACTGCGAAATAAAGTCATCAATTTTGTTAAAAAA